CAACGCGCTCACGACGTTTACCAACTGGACCATCAACCTCGTCCTCGTCTCCTTTTCGCCGCAGGCCCTCACGGCCGTGGGGTTCAAGTTCTTTTACGTCTTCTTCGTCTTCAACGTCGTCGCGGCGCTGTGTTACTACTTTTTCTACCCCGAGACGTCGGGCCGTACGCTCGAGCAGATGGACGAGCTTTTTGGCGATTATGTGCCCATGTCGGAGCAGAGTGCACTTGGGACTGTCATTACAGGGTCCGACAGCTCAAGAGGGAAAGGTGGCAAGTACGGCTCGTTTTCCGTTCATGAGCGTGTGTCCTCCACTGCGGTGTAAAGTAGTTTCGAGAGCTGTCAAAAATGACAGGTGTTATGGTTTCGTCAGTCGTTCCTACATGGCCAGTGGCAATGCGATAGAATGGGCTCGTAAATGGGTATAGACCACAGCTACATTTAGTCAGAACATTCGCTATTGTAATAAGCCTTTAAGACAAATCTCATTAGACGCTGCGTTTCACTAGATATTTTGATTAAGGACACATCTACTTCATACACACAGAATTGAGGGCAAGAGAGTGTACTCGTACGATAATAAGCATATGTAAATGATTACAAAGTTTGCATTACTAGGGAGGTATTTTAAAACAGCCTTTAAGCATGAGCACGTCTCCATTGATACAATATGAATGTCAAGGATAACAAGCTCGCCATGGACTCATTACTAAAGCCAAACTGAAGCGTACAGGGTTCATTTACAAAAGCACTGTGCTCTCATTCATACTCACTCCCATGAGTGGTGACGATGATAAGGGCGCGCCCCAGCTGGAGGGCAAGTCTTCATCGTCGATTTCCTCCTCGATCGTACTTAATTCGCTCCTCGAGACCGTCGAAGGCGAAGAATAGATCGGAGGCTTGATGTCCGACTCAAAATCAAGCGTCATCCCCTCCCCCCACATCTGAAGGGTTGTTCGATACTTCGTGGCCAAATGCTCTGGCGAGCCAGAAGGCGTAGGCGGCGTCGACGGCAGGGCAAAATCGCTCACCGCACTCTAGTCGGTCTTCTCCAACAGGGTCTCGTCCTCAGACTCCTCTTCGATGCTCCAGTCCTTGAAGCCCTCGCCCCGGACCCAGCTGATGCCCTTTCTCCAACTGCCCTCCTTGACAGCCCTCGCGTCTCTTTCGTAGACAACACCGGTCAGCATCAGCGCCATGACAAAGACCCACACGTCTCCGCCCTTCATGGCCTTCCACCACCTTCTCTTGACGCCGACCTTCCACAGAGAGTCGACGCTCACGCGGGCCGAGTACAAGAAGACACCACGTCCGCTCTTGCGCTCCACCCACGCCCACAGACCGGCGAGGAAGCCTCCAAAGAAGAACCTCTGAGTTGGCAGGAATGTGCGAGGGAACCACTGTTGGAAGAAGCAAATGCTGGCCCAGGCAGTGGAGATGGCACCGGTCAAGAAGGTGCTCATCCGCAACGACTTGGCAATAACGCGCTGCAATGTCGTGACAGGAGCGTTATACAGCGAGCGGAACCGCGGAACAAAGGTCATGACGGAGTAAATGACCAGGAAGAATTTGGTGAGGCCGGGGAAAGAACCGAGCCAGAAGTTGAGGTACGTCCGAAGGCAAGATGGGTCGGACGGATGAAGAGTAGCGCATGATAGCGAAGTGATGATGGGATGCGCTGATGAAGTGAGAGGTGCAACAGCGCTGAGCGTTGGTGGCAGTGTTTCCTTGTTCGGGAAGAGAGTTGGTGATACAAAGGGTCTGCTGTTGTTAGAAAAGGCGGTTTTATGGAAAGATTCAGGGAGACTCACGGCCAGTTCAGCTTTGCCATCTGGGCAAGGTTGTCGACAATCTCCATGGCCTTGGGCCACTTGAGATGAGATGGGTAGTCGTTTGGCCTGGGGTGAATGTACGCTGTTGAATTTTTGAAAATGAAGTTTCCGTATGACTGGTCAGGGGTCAGCATTTCCCAACTACAAAGATCATCAGCATTCCTTACCTCAGGGAAGCAATCCCGGTCAAAGACTACAGCATGAAGCAGTTGTCCAAAGGCAAAGGGCTGGATGAGCCAGCTGCCCCACCACCAGGGTCTCTCCCTCTTGACCTTTCCACCGTTCTTGAAGCCCCAAATCATGCCCTCCTCTTCACACAGATTCCAGCCGAATTCGAGGGCTCTGAACAAGGTGTAAATGGCAATGGTGACGCGCAACTGCTGGGCGGGGTACACGCCGAGGAATGCGCCAGCGAGAGACGCGCCAATGGCCGGAGCGAAGGGGGACGTCAAGGTCGCAGTTGTGCGCGGGTTGCGCTGGCGGAAGGGCGCCGCTGATGGGTCGAGTAGGTGCGCTCGTAGGCGGTTGAGGAAACGGAAGAGGATGCGGTAGAGAAGGAGGATAGCTGAAAGCGAGAGGGAGAGTCGGAGGGTTGGTGACTTGTGGAGGGGTTGCTTTTTGGCATTAGGACTGGAAGTGTGCAAGGCACATCGTCAGCATACCGCCTTTCTCGCCTGTTTGATTGATCGGAGTGGCAACTTACTCTGGCTTTCCGCCCAGGAATTTGGTAGAAATGAGAGCCCAACCCTTCAACGCCATGGCTGTCCCCAAGAATACGCGAAGCGAATGCCGCACGGCGCGGGCATTGTAATCATCAACAGCTCTCCCAGCACCAGCACCAGCACCAGCGGGAGCAGCGGGAGCAGCATTTCCTTGCCTTGCGACAGCGGCCTTGTCACCATCGACGATGCGCTCGACAGCGGTGACGCTCGGCGCAGCCCTCTTAAGCAGCCGCGAGCGCGACAAGACGTACTTGTGTAGGGTGGCATACTCCTTGGCGGAGATTGTATATCGCAGGGTGTTTCGGAGAATGGGATCGGTGATGCTATTGCGCGAGGGCGGCGGCCGAGAGGAAGGGCCGCCTGCGGAGGGCCTGGGGCTCGATGTTTGCGAGGGACGGGAGGCTGCTGTCGGGCCTGGCCGCGACGACGAGGTCGCGGCAGAGGCCATTATCGCGAGATGGGATGGTGGTGGTGAGTGGCTGCGATGAGGCGCCTGAAGGGAGAGGTGAGCTACGCCAGCAGAGACTTGTGTCGGTTACTTGAATCGAGGCCTTGGAGAGGGTGTAGTCGTTCTAGTAAAGTGGTCGTACGAATAGTGCGTGCTTGCTTACGTTTATGTGTGATTGGTGATGTGTGTTCCTCGGTGGTTGGTGGTTGGAAATGTGCTTGGTCCGAACTGGAGTAGCTCTTGGTTAGCACGTGCCAAAGCCGAAACCTTGGGCAGACTGCCAATCGCCCAAGTGCGTGTGCACGGTGATGGCTTCAATGACGAACGTACTGTAAGGTAGTCGTGGTATCAGAGGTAAAGGGGAAGGGTCACGCGCGCGAGTCGTGGAAAGACGCAATTAAGTTAGAACAGCAGCTGTTGAAGGTGAGGCGAGAAAGAAGAAGCAAGAAGTTAAAATGGTGTAGAGCGCAGAAAGGCAAAAAGCAACAGCAATGGAAAAAGCAAGTCCCAAATGGTTGCTGCTGCGCGTGGTTATGGTGGGAGGAAGGAATGTGAACGGTACGGAACGGACTGGACGGAGCAACCTGGAACCCCTCGAGCCAAACACCCAAGGTTCCGTCCGGGGGGGAACCGTCAGAGAGTGTCACGGGAAACATTTCCTTGGGCGGCCGAAAGCTCCAAAAGCACATGCCTCGGCTCTCAGGCCCAACCTGGAACTATCCCACCTCAATCCCTACAGTACAGTGAATAGTTCCTTACCTTTCCGGGGTCCAGTATCTGTAGGGGCAGAAACAAACGGAAACGGGTGCCTCCCATAGGCCCATGCAACCCAACTAATTCCCTAGGCGTCCAAGGCGTCCCCCCCGCAGCAGGGGACTCCCCCACACTCGTCACTTGCAGACACCCCGAGTTTAATGACTACTTCATGCATCACATCATCCACTCTCACAAACGTAGCACCAGTCGCGTCTTGGTTTTTCGTCTTTTTCATCTTGTTGACTTTTGTCGTGTTGACTTTTGCTGCTGGCGTTGCATTGGCCAAACAAGTCTAGTCTTGTGTCGCCCTTGTGGTCATACCCCATCTCACAGCTCATAAGGTGGGTAGGCATCTCAAGATACGTTAGCCGAGGCACCTGAGGTGGACATTACCGTTTCCCTCACCTCCATCTCACTCACATCTCACAGAGAGAGGCTCACTGAGTCTCATAGTGAGTCCCTCATCATCACATTTTACTTCGTCTTTGTCAATCTTCAATGAGTACCATTTTCGCAATGCACGCACTTACGGCCTCGCGAACCATTCATTCCCTTGCTAAAAACACACGTCTCATGCCCTGCCATTCTCCTCCTCCCTGCCTTTTACTTCCTCGGCAAACCAGAGTAGCCGTTCTCATCTCACTCAACCTGGGTATCCTTCATCCCCACAACCGGCAGCCATATCCTGGCCTGAATTTTTGTCCCTCCCTCGCCATATTTTTTTGGTTCCCCTCATATCGTCATATGCCATCGTCATTCGTGGCTGGCCCGGTAGATTGAGGATATCCTTCCTACCTGAGTTAGGGTAGCTCAAGAATCTTTGCAGAATTCCTTCGTCTATCCTCATCCAAACGCCCTTCCCTTTCGACCAGCGTCAGAAAGGGATGAGCGTCCACCAAGGCCAGTCCTCGTCAGATTGTTTGCATGCGCATACAAAAAAGGAAACTGGCGCAGTAAACGCCCATTGCCAGCAAAAACAAGGCGCTGAGCGAGACTGCCCGCGCGCTTCCCAAAGCTTTTATGTTCTGGCTCCATTGCCGAGAAAGAAAAAAAAGTGAAAACTGCCAACACCATATGCAATGCCGAAACCTTCGCCCTGAACCTAAGAAAAGGAATTGCTGCCGCTTTTTGTACTCCATCATGCAAATGCGATTGCAGTCCATTGCGGGTCATCCACTGCTTGTTGGTGTTTTTAGTTCCCGTGTCGTAACATCATAATCCCAGCTGCGAGATTGCACCATCTCAAGGGTAGGCCGCTCGGCTGGTAACCTCCACATGTCCGGTGCCGTTTTGCTGCTGCGGCGCCATCAACGGAACCCACTGCCGGCCGAGAGACGGCGCGTCGCCGTTAACGTACGAGACCACATCCTCGCGCCAGCCAAGGGCATGCCACTCCTCATTCTGACGAGGATCGGCACTCTGCAGGCTATACAAGATGGACTCGGCATGCGGAACCGCTCCAGATCTGACCGCCTCAATCACTCTCGAGCGTCTATTCTCCCGCTCAGAAACGACGGCCCGCATGATGTGATGCCGAGCCTCGACGTTCGCCCATCCATTGACATTACCATAGCCACTGGACTCGAGGGCTGGCTTCAAGTACGCAAACGGGAGGTTGATAAGAATGGCTGAGAGCGTCGACCGGATGCTATTGTGCTGAGAGGATTGCGAGGTCGAATCCGAGCCGTTTGATGTGTTGTCAGGGCCCAAAGCGAGGTCACCGAACTGGATGTGCATGGGGCGAGGGCGACGATCTTGGCCCGCCGTTCCGCGAGCAATCGTGGGTGTTCCTTCGCGGGGTGGTATCGATGTGGAAGCAATAGGAAGTCGGGCAAAGCGCTCAGGATCGGCGACAGACGTGTCCAGGGTGAAATCGGGTGGGAAGTTGTTGATGATGAATGAGATGATGCCGTTCATCAAAACGTGAACAGGTTCGCCATAAATGAACTGGCTGTGTCTGTCAGCTGAAGCGCGACTAGGCAAATCGCCGAGGGCGAAGCCAAGAGCGCGCTCAATCGTCGACCAGCTAAGGGAATGAGACGCTATCTCCAGGCCACGGAAAACAATAGGCTGCCACGCCAGGATATGACCGGCGGCAGCATAGCCAAGGGCAAAGTCGAAGCGGTCATCGGCGTTGCCAGCCATGGTAAAATTGCCATTCGAGGCTGGCTCAGGCATGTCCAATAGCGGAAAGGCGTACAGGTGCTGCACGGCCATCCAGAAGGCATCAGATCGGAGGTACTTATCATCGGACTGCAGAAGAATGGTGCGGTTAGCGCCGGGCGAGCTGGATTCGACGTTATCAGCCTCTAGAACATTGCGAACGGCTTGGCTTCTGGCAAGAACCAGGCGGTGACCTGGTAGGCGAACGGGAGGAGCGCGGTCGTCGAGATAGCGAAGCTCCAGGGTGCAGTCGGCAAAGGCAGGGTCTCTAAACTGCGATCGCAGATAGGCGGCCATGTCGTCCAGTCCCTGGTGCTCGTGGCCGGGGTGCATCATATGCGGGGGTGGGATAGGCCCAGGCATCATTCGCTGGGGCGGTGCACCGAAAGCTCCGGCCGCAGGAGGGTGAGGGCGAGCGTCATCGACATGTGTCGTACCGTTGGGGACGCCTGGCGCGGGGTAGTGGTTGTAGGCACCAGTATCATCCGCATGGGCCGAAGAGTGCGACCCCTGGAAACTATGAGGAGTCGAAGGTCCGTAGCCACCGTTGAGATGAGGAGGGTACTGCTCCATGCCTCCATAGCCTGGAACAGGTCGGCCGAATCCATCTACACCGGTGCCGGGAACAAATTCCGTACCGTAGGGCATCTGGCGGTGGAAACCGTTGGCAGCACCGCTGAAGGATCGTCCGTCGGGGAGAGGCATGCCAGGAGGGGGCATGAAGCCTCCAGAGTGAGGGGGGGCCGGAGAAGACGAGTTGGACGCGAAACCTCCAAACTGAAGGCTTCCATTGCTGGGACGCGGGCCATGCATGTGTGGAGGACCGTTGTGAACTGATCGGGGGCCCCGGTGAGAGGTACCGTTGATGACGACGGGAGAAGGGCGCGAGCCATTGTGAGGATTAGGCGGCATGTTGTAACGCGTCGGAGGGATGACGGGAGGGGGTCGGAATGTCGATGGATGCTGCTGGTGCGTATTGTCTGGAGCATGGTGATTAGACCTTCGCGGCGTGAGGATATCGCGAGATTGAAGGTCCCTACCCTTCTTACCAAATTGGGCCACCGCGGGCGGAGAGGCGACGTGATTATTACCTGCGGTGTGTGAGTAGTGGCGACCAGAGTTGCAAGTGCCAAGAGCGGGCATACCTCGAACAGGCTCTTCAGCAGAGCGGGGGAGGTCTTGGTCGGCGGTCTTGTCGGTCGATTCGGACTCTTCGGTCGTGGACGGGGTCGGGATGGCGGCAGAAGACTCCTGGGAATCGGTAGCTAGTAGAGAAGAGTGAGTGAAATGTTCTCCGAATGCGTTGAAACCTGGCAAAAAATTCCTGCATACCTTCGCGATCCTTTGTGTCATCGACCTCCGGGTCGGCAGGCGAAGGCGTCTCCTCAGCACCATTGGTAGCAGCAACGGGCTGTCCCTTGTCGTTTTCGTGTGCGGCAATCTCGATATCGATGGTCTTGGGCGTGCTGGGGGCGGAGTCGACGTCGTGCTGAATTTTCAAGGAAGAGCCGTTCGTGATGGCGGGTCGAGGAATGGTCGCAATAGTGGCGGCTTGGGCAGCAGCGGCGGCCTGCTTTGCAGCAGCATTGGCCTTGACGCGACGGTCCATGGGGAGGGGAATGACGGGAATCACACGCCTTGCAGCGTTGGGCCTTCCATGGGCGACACCGGCACCGTTCCTCGCCTTCGGATTGCCGTTGGGAGCCATGGTGGGCGAGGCTAGGCGGGAGGGTTGTGTGGTGGTGATGTTGGAAGGGTGCTGTTGAGCTCGCAGCGCAAGGAGAAGCGGTCTTTGACTTGGCGGAACGGGCCCCAAGATTGAAAGTGGATGGGCTGCTGTGTGTGCCGGGGCCACACAAGGAATAGGAGCCGGGGGCTGTTCGCGGTAGGCGGTACAGCAGCTGTTGTCGGTTCGGCGATAGCGGCAATACTTGGAAGGCTCAGACTCAGGGCGGTCTCTCCGCAGAGTAGGCTACACTACTCCGACGAGAAAGTGGATATCTCTGAGGGAGAAAGAAAGGCGGTCGAGCTGGATGGAACAGTCGCAAATTGTAAGTCGTGTTGTGGTGTGGCCTCGGAAGGGGGAAGGGGGGGCAAGGTAACTGTCAAGCAGAGCTAGTGACTCTTTTTGTGTGGGCTGCGCATGATAGAGGGGATATGCGGGTGCTGATGCGTGCCACCAATGTCTCCAGACGGCGAATGCAGGAGGAAGCAAGAAGCAAAATAGCGAGATGCAAAGAGGGAAAAGAAGAGAAGTGGGAGGGAGTTATGCCAAAGCGAGGCACAACAGAACAGATCAGCGAGCAGCTTCAGGCGGTTCTGCTGCGTGATGAGGTAAGGCAAGGTCAAGGTATCCGTACGGACGGATGAGGAGAGGGGAGACGTGAGGGAGTGGAGTGGAGGGTCCCTCAAGCGTGGTGAAAGAGGCGTGACAATGGGATGTCAAGCAGAAGAAAGTGGAGGAGCAAAGGATCAAGGGGTAGAAAGAGGAAGAAGAAGAAGAAGCAGAAGAAGAAGCAGAAGACAAGAAGACGGGCCGTTTGAGTCTTGACGTTCTTGGCCCTTTGGATGACGGGGTGTTTGAATGTTGGGTCACAGATTAAGGTACTTGGGTGTTGTTGGCGGAGGTGGAGGTGGAAAATAAACGTCCAAGAGCCAGGGATTAATAAGACGGGAAGAAGGAAGGTGCGAGCAAGAGCAAGAGCAAGAGCAAGAGCAAGAGGAAGCTTCCGTCCCTGCCTGGCTTGACCGTTTCTGTTTTTGTTTTAAAGTCTTGGGACGTTGGTCACGTAAATGGAAGTCACTGAGGCATCAAATCAAGTATCTGTACCTTCCTTCCTGTACGCAGATAGGCATCCACCCAGGCCAAGGAAAGAACTACAGCTGGAATTGGTGCTTCCTGCTCCTACCCAGCGAGATATTGAAGCTGGTTCAGGGAGCACTCACTCACTCACTCACAGATCATGGGCCGGTGCATGGGTCAGGCAAGAAAAAAAAAAAAAAAAAAAAAAAGCAGAGACCGAAAAATAAAAATAAAAAAATCCGATGATGACAAAAACCGGGGCTGCGTCACAAAATTTTACCCCCGCAGAGAGAAGAGGAAAAAAAATAAAAAGCGGTTCAATCTTCCCGGTACGTACTCCGAGCTTGGAGCTTCCAACTTCGATCTAATTGGCCCAAGATCGTCTGGCTCTGGAGAGCTATAGCCACGGCCCACTATAAAGGCACGTACCGACCGATTGGAAGGTTCCTCACCTTAAGGTATCTTGGTACTGCGTACTGCGTACATAGTCACCTCAGAAGGTGAAGGGGAAGCTCACCTCGGGCCAATTCATCTTGGTCCCTATCCGGAGGAACCGTTGATTGCCCGAGTCAAAGAATCAAGAGACGAGCCTACATTACCCATCCCCTTTCTCCTGATAATGCGTAGACAATGCACAAGGGAATAGGTCTTGTTGTGATTTGTATCTACCTAGCAAAGGGACCAAGGGATGCAGGAAGCCGTCCCTTAAAGGAATCATTGACATGGCAAGATCCGTTTGTTGTTTTGTTTGCATCCTCTTCTCTCATGCCTATGCCCTGACAAACAAACCACCATCATCACTTTTCCTTAGCTCCGGGTCTTTGACAGTTGGTGCGCTGCAAGTCACACCACAATCTGACAAAAGATTCAACGCCATCCCTAGCGGATGCACCTCTGAGGCTCTAATCAGCCGACCGACCGAGCTTCCTTTGCGTTCAGGCCCGTGGTGGCCACAGAAATAGGTTCCTGAATCCCAAGCCACCAGGGCCACCGGTGCACTACCGTTGAAGCTACCTCATCTCCGGGCGCACTTCGTCTACCTCAGGGTGATCAAGGTACGGAGTACAACTATGGATTATGTCAGCAATGCTTCCCTAACGACGTCAGACCACCGACTGCTTTGTCCGAGACACTGGGCCACTTAAATCCAGACCCCTCCATCCGCTGCTGGGATCTTATTCATCTGACAAGAAACCGATCCAGGTCCCGTCCGATTTATGATCGAGTCCCAGGCTACCGGTCCGGCGCATCTACATTCGGAGCCGATGTGGGGCCGCGCTTTCCAAATGGAGCTCGGACTCGGATCCGCTACTGTTCGTAATCCTTAAAGTCCACATTCACTGCACTCATTTGCGCCTTCTACGGAAAGTATTGTCCTCACACACAGACCTAGTATCGGCTACTTGGTTCAGAATAGTGATATGATCGAATTGAGAAAACGATGCAGGAGAAAGGGATACGCCTTATTCTTGAAAAACTAGGGGAGATGCCACTGATCAATGTATCGGAAGTATGTGGTCTTGGAATCGGCATCTTCTCATAGAGATGGAATACAATCATGCACCTTAGGTTCGCGATGCCCGGCTACCCGATGATGCCCGTGGTTCCTTGTCCGAGTAGTCAAGGATAGCCCAGAAATGTCATGTCCGATGTTTCAACCAACCGCCATCACTAAACACCGTCTTGGTTACATGCCGCTATCGGGTCGTTGGCCCTGGCCATTAAGGTCCAGAAGCTAGAGTCATGAGATTTGGCAACTCGATAAACTAGAGTCGGATGAACGCCAATGGAGAGGGCGCGGTTTTACCCAGAGACCATAGCTATACCATTCAAAGATTTTGATTAACGTCGTGACGAACCAATACTTCATGCCCCAACTGGAAACCACTGATTGAAAGCCCCCAAAGGATCCCATTTCTTCTTCAGCTCCCTCAATCTCGCCAAACTCGACCCATACACCGCCTCAGGCGTCTCATCGCCATGCGCAAAGTTGACATACGTCGGATTAGCCACCGCACTCGGCGAATAACTCCAAATATCCCTCACCTTGCTCGCAAACGCCTCCGCCTCACCGTCCAGCGAAGCATCAGTGTACCAAGGAATCACAATCGCCTGCGCAAACGCGTCCCTCCTCAACGCCTCCTGCAGCGCCGCAGACCCCTTGGGTACAGACTGCGCCTTGGTCAGGTTATACCGCTCAATCAGCACAGCCGAGTTGGGCCCCTTGGCTTGAAATTTCGTGTACAGGCCCCATATCGCCGGCCACGTCTCAGGCTGCATGTGGTTGATGGTCGTGCTATACGCCGGCTTGCGCTCCTCGCGCGCGCAAAAGTTGTCGTTGCCCGCGTTCCAGCCTTCGTACCCGGCCACGCTGCTGCTGTTCGAGATCGGGCCAAGCTTATACAGCGGCGCGAACGCCGCACGTCCAGTCACATCGTTGCCTTGACGCAGGAACCCGGTGACGAGGACGGCGGGGGCATTAGATGGTGGTCCCGAGTTGGTGAGGACGAGGTAGACGACTTGCTCCGGTTTCAGGGGCAGGTCTTGGATGGCTTGGGCGACTTGCGGGAGCTTGTCCGGCGAGAAGAAGAGATTCATGAGCCAGGCGTTGCGGCCTTCGGTCGGCATGGGCCGCGCCTTGACCGTCGCCGAGATGACGATGCCAAAGTTGGGACCGGCGCCGCGGAGGGCCCAGAAGAGGTCTGGGTTGGAGGCCGGCGAGGCCGTAAGGATCTCTCCGCTCGCGACTGCGACGCGCATGGAGAGCACATTGTCAACGCCAAAGCCGACTTCTCCCATTTGATTCCCTGTCATGCTGTTAGTTCAAGGTCTGTCTTGTTATGTCAGTGTCGTGCACTAACCGTAACCGCCTCCCAGGATGGCACCAAGGGCACCAACACAGTTGCAGTTGCCCGTCTGGACCAATACACCCGCAGCATTGGCTGCTTTGATTGTGTCGCCAATGATGGCCCCGCCTCCGATAGTGGCTTCCGTCTTCGTCTTGCTGAAAGTGACGGCATTCAGACCAGCCAAGTTAATGATGACTCCGTTATTGCCGAGGTTGAAAGTCTTGCCCCAGCCGTTACCGCCGTTTTGAGCTGTGAAAGGTATCTTACGGCTTGCACAGTATTTGACCTGGTACAAAAATCAGGGAACATAGCTCATGATGCGACGTTTGATGGGAAAACTCACAACTGCACCAACATCCTTCTCCGTCGTCACATTCACCACGATGGACGGGATGGGAGCATGGTATGTACTCCATCTCGCACGGAGGTCAACAGCTACTGACGACGATGCTGCTACGAGCGTCTTCAAGTCCTCTGCAACGGATGGGACTCTCACGGTGAGGGCGGAAACCGCCGTGACGAGAAGAGACAGAGAGGAGAGGAGCCGCATTGTACTTGATGACTTGAGAACGTCGAAGGTGGCGGAGGTGCAGCACACTAGCCTTTGACAGCAGACGACATGTTCTTATTTGTATCATCCAGGTGGTGTCATTGATGCCGTCTTACATGCAGCCTATATCCAGGGACCTGGCTCGTACAGTGACCAACGAGTCATGGAACCCGCCAAGGTTGGAATCGACAACCTGTATATCGCGTGGGATGCACTTATCAGCAGGGTTTAATCAGCACCAAAGAGCATCGTCCCCCTGAAAGGTGTAATTTGGAACCAACGGAGAAAACATCCAGAATGCTGTGATTACCCTGCCCAGCCCCCAACAAACCAGCCGCACATTTTACACGAGGGCAGCAGAGCTGCGGTGAGGGGGAACTATACGTTACATCGCCCATAGACTTTGAGGTCGCTTCTGCGCTGGCTCAACTTCCTATCCTGGAGCTGATGTCCTACCCCTGCAGTCGACCAACCGGAGGCCGAAATCCAGCGAATGGGATATTCTGGAAGGATTTCGTGCCGATTGACTATTGGAACCCTTATGCCGACGCCGCAACAATGCCACGATGGCTTCCAAGTTCCACGCATCCTTGTGAGACGGAAGAGTCCCGGCGATCGGAGGCCGACTATAGAATCCCAGGTTTGCGCTGAATAAGCTATCAGGGACCGTGGTAAGACCCGTAGGAAGGGATAGGCATCGCGCGACGGACGGACGTTGTGTGGGATGAAAGACCCGGTCCCGAAGTATTCGGGAACTCGGTCGGTAGTTTCATGTTGTAATCTTCCAATTAGAGAGTATCTACAGTGATTTTGTTGTACAATGTGGCCTGGCTAGGCTGTGCTGTATGCCGGCACGTGAACTTTATCCGTACGTCGGAAATGAGGCCTTTACAAGAAGTTGATGCCGACCCCAACCTGCAGTCCCTTGGTGCCCTGCTCGCCGCGTCTCAGCACCAACGGGAGACTGAAGTTGAGCTCGAAACGAGCGACAGGATGAGCGTAGACCAGACCGACACCAGCGGCTGTTGATGGCAGACCAGTCGTCAGGTCACTCAACGCTCTCCACGCGCTGCCTGCGACACTTCTAGCGTCGAGGCCCTCGCTGGCTGAAGCACCAGTCTTGCCCTTGTTCTTCATCGCGACTAATCTGCCGCCGTTGGCAAACACTTGGAAGCGGAGAGAGGAGTCGGGGCCCTTGTAAGGCAGAGGAAACAGCATGTTCACACTGCCAGCTGCGAAGACGTCTCCTCCGACTGAATCGGATCCGTCGTGGGGTCCAAGACCTCCATAGTGGAAACCGCGGACGTCGGTGGGCCCACCGAGCTGGAATCTGTCGTTTATGCGGCTCGGCTGGGACTTGCCTTCGGAGGCAAAGCCAAGAGGAAGCGGGTACAGCATACCGAACCTCAATCCACCACCAATCGAGATTCCAGATGGTCCCTCCACGCCAGGAACAGGGACGGGCAGCGCACCACCCACCTCCCATTCGCTCTTGGAGAAGGCGACGTCACCGCCTAGGGGGCCGAGACCAGCCAGCTCCCAAACGGACTTGAGTACGTAGCCGCTTTGCGGAAGCTGCGGGTTATCTCTCTCGTCTCTCTGGTATGTGTGTTTGATGGAGCTCTTTACGGAGTCTCCGGCATCGGCACGGACAGTGGGACTGGCACTGTCGCGGAGACCGGTAACTTGACGCCAAATGCCGGAATATTCAACCGTGTGCATGTCCTTGAGGCCAGAAAGCCATGAGAAGCGCAGGTTTCCTCCCTTCAGAACCTCCTCGTGTGCTGCCCAGGATTTATCGGTGGCGGAAGCGAGGCCCTCGAGTGCGATTCTCGTATCGGGGTTGCTTTGGACGGGTGCGCTCAAGGTCGCGCTGTATGCGGAACGGGTTCTTGTGCCAGCACTGGCATTGACAGTAAGCTGCTCCGCACCGCCAAAGATGTTGCGCCAGAGCAAGGAGGTATAAGCGGAGCCTTCGCTGTTTCCGACATCGGTTCCGGCGTTGAACTTGTAGCGGGAGAGCTCTTTGACGACGACATCGACGTCGACGTCGGTCGGAGTGGACGAGGCATCGGTGTTGTTGGCGTTGCTAAGGTGGACCTTGACATCGGGGTGGAAGATGCCTATGAGTAAGCGTTAGACCATAATGTCTCTCCAAAGGCGGATGCTGCCCATACCGAGTCTCTCCAGCTTTCCTCTGGCGTCGCCCAACCGCGCCGCTACTTCGCCGAGCGTGGAGGAGCTGTTGACATCCTCGGTCAAGAGCGGGGTGAAGATAGGGTCGAGGAAGCCTCTTCGGGTGTTGGTAGCGCCGTGAACCTGCAAGCGGTTGATGGTCATGGGCTGCGAGTTCTGGTCGGAGAGCTACTGCGCGCATTAGCAAGGTCAGGGACCGTTGAGCGAGAGAATGGTAAGAGCGTGCCAATTGTTGCAGCCTTCTGATTTTGGCCTCTTCCTGGAGCTTCTCGAACTCGGCTGAGGATTCTGCCTCCTTGCGCAAGGCATCGGGCCCGGCCTGGAGCTTGCCAATCGGGTTGGAAGCCTAAGAAAAGCGCGGGTTCCATTAGCTTTCGTTGGAGGGTTTAGAGACGATTGAGAAGGGAGACTATACAGAGCTTTCGCTCGCACTGGTCTTGGAAGCCATTGGAGCCTTGGTGAGAGTTGTGACAGACGTGAGCTCAACGTTGCAGCTTGTAAGTGGGTGGACAAGACAAAAATCACACAAGCCGGAGAGCTTCGGTTGAATTTCGAGATGCAGCACGGGCGCAAGGGAACGGATCGGGACGAGGTCACTCTCGGTGGGGCTTCTGGGGCACTCGGGAGAAGAAGCTCCAGCCACATTCTGGAAGCTCTGTCCACTGAGGTAGGTACGTATTCACTGCTCTCCAGCCACACATCAAGCGGCCACTCATCCAATGGAAAATGGTGGAAATTCCGAGGCACAGGGTGTCAAATGTGGCTGGTAGAGACCCACTACTTCGACCAGTGACATAATTCTGTGGCGCCTCTTCGGCGTGGACTCACCGGACACCGGAGATACGTACCTTTTTCCGTCTCTGTGTCTTTTGCGTTTTGACGCACCCCAGGGCCCCTCAAGCCCCCCCCAAAAGCACCTTGAGTGGACAACGCACTGGCGGCACTTGTCACAGCCTCGCCGCATTCCATCTCCGTTACCCATTCGCTCATCCTATATCAACAACAACCCCAACACCGTACAAACCAACAGTCGAAAGAGAGCAGTACATCTGCATCCAACTGCGTGTATTCAGTCGTTTCGATTTCCATCTTCTGTACATTACCCATATCATTCTCTTCGCTCTCTCTCAACCGGCCACCCGCCATCGTTCACTGATCGTGCTCCCCATTACGTCGTTCGCCGCCGCCCACCGTCGATCCCGATACCACAGCATCTCGTCGGCAATCCTCAGCAACCATGGCTGCCAGTAGAGCCGCACAGAAGAGGGTAAGATGCACTGACATATCACTTCCATGAGATGCATTCGACTAACTCTTACACAGTTGACTCGCGAGTACAAGACTATCGCCGAGAACCCACCACCATACATCGAGGCACACCCCTCTGAATCCAACATTCTCGAGTGTGTAGTCGTCCATCGCATCCATGTCAGATATCCATGCTAACAGGTAGACAGATGGCACTATATCATCACCGGTCCCGAAAACACACCGTACCACGGCGGCCAGTACTGGGGAACTCTGGTCTTCCCCCCGAATTACCCTTTCGCGCCCCCAGCTATCCGAATGCACACTCCTTCCGGTCGCTTTCAGCCATCTACGCGCCTCTGCCTGTCCATCTCCGACTTCCATCCCAAGTCCTTCAACCCTGCCTGGGAGGTGTCCACCATTCTGATAGGCTTGCTTTCCTTCATGACCAGCGAAGAAATGACGACCGGTTCCGTATCTAGCACAGAAGTCGAAAGAAAGATGTTGGCAGCACGAACAAAGTGGTGGAACTCAACAGGCGGAGGATCCCACGCAAAATCGAATGTGGCAACGAAGGGCAACGTCAAGGCCGGTGACGGCGGCGCAAAGTTTCGAGCCGAATGGCCCGAAGTCGACAAGGCCAACTGGGAGTGGATGAAGGAGACCAAGATTGACTTGGCGACAGGTAACAGGACGGGAGCGGCAGCAGGGGCCTCTTGCGGGCCCCAACTTGGCATCGGGAATGGAAGTGGCCACCAAGCCCAGGCTGTCGTCGATGCTGTTGTGCAACAACGAGATGCCGGCCGGGGCTGGCTGAATCAGAACAAGCTGCTCGTCGCCGGCGGTGTCGTATTCTTCTACGTACTGCTTGCGAGGGTCTTGGGTGCGAGCGACAACTAAAGCGGCTTCAGATGCGTACGATTTCTGGCTGGATAGTGCTGTTGCGTCTCGAGAAGCGAGTCAGATCGTGTGTAAAGGGACAATGGGGCTAAGCATGGCGTTATGTTTTGGGCTTTCTGATGACGGACCAGAGTGATATACAGCACAACAGTCTTACTAATAGATGGGACTTGGACGGCCGATTATAAGTTGGTAAAACTCGAATGACCAATGTATTCTAGATTTGACCAAAGGATTGGCTTTTGGAAGCAAATTCGAACAAACCTTCGCTTCTAGTACCTCGCCATGGCTCATGGGATATCGCGAGCTTCGGCCAAGCCATTGTGGGAGCCATTACTCCAACAACGTGGCATATGTCGAGAGTCACTATCAGACTCTATGTCAAATACTTGCAGAGATGATAATCGCGGAATATCGCATGAGAGAACGCCGCTTAATAAGAGTTCGGCCAAAGCTGATCCGATTGCAGCTGCAGTTGAAAAAGTTTCCACGTTGTATTGGGCCGATGGAACTTCTCTGCGAAACATGAATTCAAACCTCAGGGTTGCTGTTCAAGTGGTCTTCTCGACGATCACTTCATTCCGTACATGTAGATTCGTAAGCTGCCCTTGGCTCGTCACAAGTGGACACGCGGTGCCCAGGCAAAGCCAACAAGTCGGGTCGCCGCACCGGAAAGTGGACGGCGAGGAGTAGAGGACGCACAACGGATGAGCCGACGGATAGGTATCATCTGAAGGAAACATCAGACTCGACACATGAAGCGCCGACCGGCGACGATCACGATGGGGGCACCCAGCTCAGAGCCTCAGACAAAAGGGCTTCGGCCGTTCGGTGGGCTTGGCAGAGAAAAAGGTCTGTACAGGAGAGACTACCCAGAGGCGTGGAGGCTAGAGTGTGCCAATACCTGCTTCATTGGTAAACCGAAACGTGTAACGCCGGCATGAAGTCATGGTGGAGGAGGGCCAAGCCCAGAGACCAGACAAACCAGTCAATGTAATTCAGACGAAAGGTAGTGTAATACAACAGTACGGGGGAGGTTGGATATGAGCTGATGCGAGTTTGTCACCCGCCGATCGTGGTCGTAGTCGTCGTCAACTCTCCCCGTCAAATCCTCAGGATTGTAACCTTCTTGGCAGGTTGGAATATTGCCGTGGTAATATTGACTTAGGTTCTGAATGTGCAACGCAATTTTGCAGCTTTTGAGGATGTCCACTCTGTGATTGGGACGTTGAGATGTATCAAATCCAGCGTATCGTTGCATCGCCATCCGTGCGCCGGATCAAAAAAAGAACGAGTCGAAGTTGTCGAAGATCCAAACGTCTTAAATTGTGTTGGCTTGAGGCACTCGGACCGGGGGTCTGTAACAAGGTGGTGGTGCTGCGTTCATGCGTTGAGTCAAGAACCTTTCTTCGCGACCCGTATGGAGTACACTAGCTGCGTCTTAGTATAGTCGCTTATGAACTTGCTGCCATGCTGGAAAGGTTTGTTTGCCTTCCTCTGTACTCTGTGGCATTTCATCTCAACTTGTTCCAAGAGAAAAGAAACGGTCTGAAGTCTTGGATGCAATGTGACTTGGAGGATGTTGATCCGGCCGACTGGCGCGCGCGGTTGTGATGCGATGAAGACTGGAGCGCGTCGAGACCGACAGAGTTTACTTAAGCCCACGTTGGCTTTCCTAGAATCCTCACTACGGGCAATATCATGGTAGAGCTTTTCAAAGACACTGACCGTCTGTATGCCATTGCTCAAGGGGTGATTGAATTAAGATTCTCTCCACATCAGCCCCATGGACTGGACGCTAGGAGCCCTATGCAGTCTACTTACATACGTTCCGCAACGTCTCCCGATGCAAGGGGCAACTTTGTAGGTGTAAGGCATGATGGAAAGCGTGAAGAATCTCAAGACGCCAAAGAACGACAGGCAAGGGTTTATCTCGCGCGCGCGCGAGAACGTCGATCAAACCGTCGCATGCCGCATTCCAACCCCAGACCAAGTCACACCCCCTTATCCCACCGTACCCAAAGAGTCCCAATCCCTACAAGGCGCAAGACGCAGCTGTGTCATGCCAAATATTCTAGACGAATCCCACCGTGTTAAGCGTGGGACTATTCTGCTTCGACGACGAATTAGTCTCGCCCTAGCTCCCCGGCCCGCACCACCCAACCGCCCCATCAGGCGATCCAGAAATTCTTCAACTGCCGAAAGCAGACACCAGCATCACAGACCATGGGCTTTTTCCAAGGTTCGATATCCTAGCTCCCGGTCTCGCGGCGACGAACGTTTGTCAGGTGGAAACATGACACGCCCGTGCTTGGGAGAAAGGGGAACTTGGGCGAACATGGGAGAGGCCTCTTCCGCCCCCGGCAGGCGGGATGTGGAGGGAGACACACACCCACTTTGCCCAGAGACAGTATCGTACACTCGTGTCTGAGTCTGTCTCTCCAGTGTCACTGGCGTAGTTGATCATCGTCGCGGGTGTCGTGCGATTGACGGTTCGCCTGATGCGACGGATCCGTCCAGGCACGTCTCCGATTCGAGTACAGGCACACAAGACCAGACGCAACTAGGGTTACTACAGATCTAAACGCACGGCTTTTCCCATCCCTCTCTGCTTTCCTTCCCTTCACCTGTTTGGTATAGATCCAACTCTTCTGATTCAACCCCAGCTCGGAATCCAGAGGACGTTCCGAACCTGCAAATCATCATCCCCCTCCCCTTGCTACCGATCACCTACAGGGGGGCATGTCAGGTCTAGTATAAGGCTGCGCTGATATCCGGCGGGAAGACGAGCTTGACCCTTGGATCTTGGAGCGGTGGGATTGCGCTACAGCTCTAACTCCATCACGGCAAAACATAACAACTGACAAGATGGCGACGAACAACCGCTGGCCGCTCCAGGATGAGCAGGCTGGTCCTAAGCGTGCGCCCGCCGTGTCGGTGTCCGAGTTCGACGACGGGGTCAGTGAGAAGAACGAGACGCTGGTCGTCGGTACGACAAATCTCTATGTGGACGGGCAGCTGAGGCTGATTCCTGTAAGTTTGACATATCCTCTTGATTCAAGGGCTTTCCTAACAACGCGTAGATGCCCACGGCTGATCCCAAGGGTGAGTTCTGAGAATCCCCGTTTGATACCAACGAGCAATGATGATTGATATGAGAATAATGTATAGATCCACTGAACCTCCCCGCATGGCGAAAATGGACAGCAATCGGTGCCCTTTGCTTCTGTAAGACGTCCCATTAACCGTACGAAGGGCCGCTAGAGACTGACTAGTTCTCACAGTCGGTGCACTTGCCCTGTCAGCAGAGGTTGTCATCGGTGGTCTCCTCCCCGTCTTCATCCTCGAGTACTCGGGAGTCGACCCGCGCATCCTCAACAACATCGACTTCAAGGCCCAGAGTGGCGGCAGCGGTCTCAACATCAATCCCATGTCCGTCGTGCCACCTGGCGTCAAGCCAGCTTCCCTAGATGAAGTCGCTCTCCTAGCTACGATGCCCCTTTTGGCAAACGGTATTGCGAGCTACTTCCTGGTGCCCACATCCATCTGGATTGGCCGTCGACCGGTCCTCTTGTTCGCTGCGACTAGTGCTTGGGCTGGTGGCTTGTTTGCTGCTTTCAGTACGAGCCTGCAACAGCACTTGCTTGCCAGAGCTCTCATGGGTTTGGGCGCCGGTGCGGTAGAGGCATTGATTCCTCTGATTGTTCAGGATATGGTCTTCATCCACCAGAGAAACAAGGCCATGTCGGCTGTAGTATCCAGTCAGGGGATCATCATCATCGGTCTTGGTGTTGCAGCACCATGGGTATCCGCCAACTACACCTGGAGGTGGCTGTACTACATCACTTCTGGCATGGGTATCTTGGCTTGGGCCATACTCATTGCCTTCTTGCCTGAGACTCGCTGGACTCGTTCCCAGGAAGAGCTCAGTATGTCTCGCCTTACCCCCAAAGGGTATTACTCGAGCGCAACTAACCCGTCACAGGTGGTCAGAATACCGTTCCTCTTTTGCCTGGCCAGAACCGCCCGGAGCTCGATTATGTCAACTACACGCCACGCACGGTGTGGACCAACATCGGTGTCTTCCAAAACGGCTTCGAGTTCAAGCGCGCTGCCAAGTCCATGTTTGATGCCCTCAGATCCACGTACTTCCCGGCCATCATCTGGGGCGTTCTGGCCAACAGTTCCATGATCGTCATCAACCAGGCCGCTCAGCAGATCACGCCGTTTGCCCTCCTCGCCCAAGGATGGCAGTTCCAGTGGACCGGTCTCACCGTGCTTCCCTTCTTCGCCGCCTCGGCGCTGGTCTACGTCTTTGGTGGCCCTGTAGCTGACAAAATTTCCAACGCTGTGACAAGGTGGCAGGGCGGAAGCAGAGAGCCGGAGCATCACCTTGCCAACTTGATCCTGCCGCTCGTTTCGGGAGTAGCGGGCTGCTTCGTCTTCGGAACTGCCGGTGAGCAGAACATGCACTGGGCGGTTCTACTGGTCGGCTCCTTCTTGATCGTCTTTGCCTTTTTGACAACCATGACCATTCTCAATGTCTTCATTGTCGAGAGCTACCCGCAATGGGCAGGGTATATTCAATTTCGATCACCCTTAAGGAAGTGCACGGCTGACACACTAGCAGACCGGTACTCGTCAACGTCTCTTCACTCCGCATTGTCGTCGCGTTCTTCATCGCCTCCAAGGCGACTGTCTGGATCGCCGAGAAAGGGCCCCTTCAAACATTCGCCCTATATGCGGAGGCAATCATCGTCTTATCTCTTGGGTTGCCTATTCTCTACTTCTGGGGCAAGAAGATGCGTCAGTGGACTGCCGGAAGTGTCAAGAACAAGCAGAGTCAAAAGGAGAAGGCTTTTGACGATGGGGCTTCGGTGTAAATGTGGTAATCATAATGAGACTCTAGAGAAGAAAACACAACGCGGATCAAATACGCCGGTTGGTCTCTGGCTAAACATAGTTAATGACCTAATAGAGATCGATAAATATCAATCCAGTCGCTACCGACATGGAAACCCTCCAATCCATAATGAAGGGAAACAAATACCAAAGCAGGCAACCTTGATCATCCACGTGTAACGCCACATCCCAATCATTTGGCAGCCTTCCGTGGAAGAGCTTGCACAATCACCCAGCAGATATGAGTGCGCCTCCTAAAATTCTCGGAAAAGATAACAAGTAGACGTAGGAAAAGAGACAGATTCGGCTACACTCCGTCATCTCCAAGCAAGAGATGCGTCAAAGGATGGCAGGTCCTCCACCTCTGGCTCCATCACTTGAGGGTAGAGCGACTGCGACGCGATCTGCAGCGGAACAGAAAGATTGGTCTTGGAGCCGTTGAAATTGACAGACATGCGCAAGATGTAGCTCCGAGCAATGAAACAGTTGAAGAAGGTGGGCAGGAACATCTTATGTGCGGTAGGGAGGCGGATAGGAACCTTGGTTCTTGATCGCCAGGTGAACATCTTGCAGTTTTCTGCCTGGTCGTCCTTGTGCCATAGGATGACCCCCGTGTCTGTCGTAGGGAGCTTGGTTTGGGTAGAGTACCGCAGCTCATGGCGCAGTCCAGCCGCCTCACGGGGGTTTCCTAGGTCGGGCGACATCTTCATGGGGGTTCCTGTGAACCACGTCTGAGTGTCTAGCTTGACGTGGCCCAGAGTGACTTCCGGTGGGAATGAGAATGAGGAGTTGGATTCAAAGCTTAGGTCCAGTGTTACGGAGGCGTGAGAGTCGGGGAGCTGATGGCCGCCGATGCTGATGTAGACTGCTTCAGGCTGAAGCGCATTGATAACGATGCGATCCTTCTGTGTAGAAAGAAGACTTCTGCGGACGGACTTGGTCCTGGATAGCGTGTATCGTGCATCGTGGTTGTTGATGTTCAGGGGTGGGTCTTCGGCAAAGGCTGGGAGGACCATGATCCGGTGACTGGCCTCAGTAGTATCTTTTGGGCTGGAGGATCTCTTGCGAAGCAGTCGAGCAACTATCTTGTACTCGACTTGAGCCATCGTGGGTGACATGTCGTCTTTGCCCCAACCACCCATTGATGGAGGCAGTCGCATGTGTTGATCGTGGGAGTGATCGCCTGAAGCAGCCTCACAGGCATCTTTGTGTAGTTCTCGTGGTATGGTGAAGTTGAATGGGATAGTTTGGGTTTCTCCTGCCGCAAAGACCCGTCCTTGCGGGTAGGATGTCTTCGTAATGGGCATGTCTAGGTTGAGGAACACGTCGGTGGTGATCTTGGGGACGGGTAGCATGTCGACCCGAGTGTGAGAGGTGCCCATGAGAGCGATTTGGATGCAGTGAAAGGGAGTGCGGCTGTCTGGGCAGACAGATACGGTGCCTGTGATGTGAGAGCCGCTGGTATAGATCTTGGACGAGTAGTGATCGTCAATCTTGATCTCGAGAGGCATCGTGGAGGCCGCAGACCACATCGTGGTCTTGAGTAGATGGTACAAAAGAGGAGTATGTGAAATTGATATACTTTTATGGCACATATAATGTTGAGGTTGATATCAACTATTTGAAAGGCAAAGATCAGACGGATGAGATAGGAAGAAACCCCAAATTCACCCAAGAAAGAGGGGAAGGTGGTTACTTATACACCAAATTGGCCAGCGTAAGAACGGACATAGTCTTCTTGATTCAGTCCAGGCCCCGAGAACTAGCGGCAGCAAAGTTTTCTTGTCCGGCGCATTTCTTTGACTCCGACCCGGCTCTTCCTAACGTACACGGTCACGATACCGAGTCGTGGCCTCCGGAGCCCCACATCTCGGCACCGCTCAACGTACACGGTCGGGCCCCGCTTCGGTCGTGCTAGCTCCCGCTTCTTCTTAACGTTAGCGGTTAGCCGAGATAAACCCCGAAAGAGGGCCCCCGGCTATTTTCTACCTTAGCGGAAAGGAAACGTAACGAAAACTCAAATTGCATAAATGATTGCAAATTTCGTTATCACGGCTAGCGTTGGCGCTTTGAGCTGGACTTTCCCCAGAACCCCAGGAAAGGCCTTGGACCGTTCATCACTTGATTGGCTGCATTCATGGCGTTCCTCGGGATGACCTGCAACTTGTGTGAGACTCGAAAAGCTGCTCGCCTAGAGCAGCCGTAAGAATTTCAAAAGTGGCAGGCTGTTCCGATGAAGTTCATGATGCTCATGATCAAACTTTCAGCCCTTGGACATCTAGGGACAGCTGAGGAAATAAGGAAGCGTCTTCCTGGCGGGAGATGCCTCTTGTATGAGAACAAATGCAGGACATACTGTAGCAGAACCTTTTCAATCCTCACACTCAACTGGTCCCATTGTGATACAAGAAAAACTGCCATCATTCATATTTCACCACTCATAATTACCATCGAACTACCAGATTTTTAACACCCAATCCTCGATACTCTCTATCAGAGTCTCCATATTCTCCACAGCAGCTTTCCCTA